ACATTTGAATATACTGGAAGCATCATCAGACATGATGAAACCACGCCACTTATAACTTAACGTTTTATGCCGCGATATGCGTTTTATAACGCGTTTTATTGCGTTTAACGTATACTTTTAAATGCAAAAGACTGCTCCAGACAGTACAATTATCTCTTTAGTAAATATTCCCCTAGAATGCTTCATAGTTTGATTACGTCATCATATATTGCACAACATTGATTGAGCGTCCATTGACGGCCATTATATCTACAAACGCGCTCACAAAGGTCAGATATAAACTCCTCGACAACTGCATTTTCTCGGCCTTGATTGCCGTATGGCTTACGAATTGATACAATTTGAATAACGCTCTTATCTTGTCATGAGTGCGAGGGTGACTTTTAAATATTGACATTTCATTTCAACTAAAATTAATTTTACCGTACTGCCGGCGGAATTAAGTCGGACTTCCGTAATGTTCAACAAGTCGGAAGTTGTCACGCATGGTGAACTGTTTGCACGTGCGGGCCCTCACACTCGCATTATGAGCGGTGGCGCAGGCCCGGTAAACTTCGTTGGCCAGAAATTCACATGGATTCAGCTCCTTTGGCGGTTAAGTATTAACTTCATTTTGAACGTGCACATATCGTTGCGACCAGATGTCGAGCGAGAGGAAAAATGCGAAAAATTTAAGAGAAACAAATGCTCATGTTTGTCATGCATGTCACGTCATGCTCATGTGAAGCTCATGTTTATGACTAAGAAAAGTTTGGGCAATGGCAGTGGCATCAGGCTACCTGTGACCACCGCCCCAGTCGGATCGCACGTTACCTGCTCCGTCCACTCGCTCGCTCCCCTTATACAGCCGGGGGAGTGACCGGCCGAGCCAAGTGAGAGTGTCCGCGCTACTCAGCACTGACTGGTGACTGACAAGTGACTTCCATTAGGATGGACGAGGCCATCAAGAGAGCGGTGATCAACGCGGTGACGCAGGGAAACCTCCTGAATTCTGTCAAGGAGCAGGTGACGGCGACCGTGGCCGAAGCTGTGGTCGATAAGTGAAAAATGCGCCAGTGCTGCCATCTCTCAACGAGTTCGAGATACTACAAGCTGGTAATTTCGCATGGCTCATTTGACAGCACGTCAAGCGTCACACAAACGTTCCACGATGCAATGAAAGAATGACGCACTGAAAGAACAGTTAGCAGATATAACAGTTGTCTTATCTGGAGCGGTCTATGCCACTCCGTATCAGCCGCTGCCACTTAAAAGCACACTGATGATTATAAGCATGTTGATTGCATCCTATGTGATGGTTGCTTCAATCTCATGAAATCTGGCACCTCCCTTTTAACTAGTACAGCTAAGATTTTTCGATGAATTGTTAATTTTGTCTCGGATGAGATAAATTTGGACCGTGATCATCAGTGCAGATAATACACACGCAAACCTAAACGCATTTAATCACTTCGTTGATTAACAAAACAACTTTGTGGTCCCGTAGTTAGCAAATGCTTTCTTAACCAGTGATCTCCAGTGCGCGGAAGCTAAGCCCAGTTTTTCCTAGCGTTGTGCAGCACGTTTGTTCCGAATTAAAGAGTCAGTATTCCATCAGTCACGATTTCTGTGGTTGCGCTTGGTAAATCATGTGTTGCTATTTTGTTTTACACGTATGATTTCACTCTGGATTATCACTTCAGCGCATGATTTTTGTGACGGGCAAACTAATGAAATGTTCCCGTTTTGCTAGTGCCCTAAATCCAGCATTGGCTCGTGCCCTTTGCCCGCTAACGTAGCTCGGCACGAATTGCGCGGAGTTGTAGATGACGCCACCTACGGTGGTGGCGCTAACTACGGTGGTGCTGCCGCCTTCAGGTGACGCTGCCTACAGATCGGGTCCGTTGGGGCAATGCCGTCAAAGCGCAAAAAGCGGTTCTTTCTCGTGGCGATGCGCTTGGCAGCGTGACTAACGGCGCAGGGGACACAATGTACTCGCTCCCCCCCCCCCCCCTGCCTCTGACACTGAAACTTGATATTGTTTCACCTTTTTAACACGAAGGTCATGAGAGGAACCTGGAACTTTGACCTGAGTGACTTAACGTACAGGTCAACACACCTCGCAAGTCTGGTATCTCTAGCTGTCTAAGTTCCCGAGATCTCAGGGGGCGCTCAAAATGACCACCCACCCGAGCGAAGGGTATGTAGCCGGCTACCAGGGCGCGTGTGAAGGCGGAGACGCCTTGGGCAATGCTTCGGTCATTTAGTTTACGCTTGGTTTCCTCTATTCCCCCAGCCCCAGGCCCCTGCCGTTTGAACTGTTCATCCTTATCGACCACAGCTTCGGCCACGGTCGCCGTCACCTGCTCATTAACAGAATTCAGGAGGTTTCCCTGCATCACCGCGTCGATCACCGCTCTCTTGATGGCCTTGTCCATCCTAATGAAAGTCACTTGTCAGTCACCAGTCAGTGGTGGGTCGCGGACCCTCTCGCCGGTTTTGGCCGGTCACTCCCTCAGCGTATAAGGGGATCAAGCGGGAGGAAGGAGCACGTAACGTGCGATCCGACCGGGGCGATGGTCACAGGTAGCCTGATGCCATTTGCCATGGCGCAAACATTCCGTAGTCACATACATGAGTGCCTACTACTTGTTTCTTTTGAATTGTTCGCATTTTTCCTCACGCTCAGACATCTGGTCGCAACGATATGTGCACGTTCAAAATGAAATAAGTACTTAACCGGCAAAGGCGCTGAAGACATGTGATTTCTGGCCAACGAAGTTTACCGAGCCTGCGCCACCGCTCGTAATGCGAGTTGTGAGGCCCCGCACGTGCCAGTAATTTCGCCATGCACGACTCTTGCTTGTTGAAAATTACCGAAGCCCGACGTAATTCTTTCAGGAATTCATGTAAAAAATAATGGAGAGCAATCCGTGCTGACGCGCCGCATCATAGGTCATGGGCAATGTCGGTGCTGTCTCACTGCTTATAAAAGAGGGCCTTCAGTGTATTGAAATCCGCCTTGCATTCATCTCAGGAAAAATGACATTGATTTATTAGTATATTGCGCACGCATATACACATGGTTACACATCTTGCAGGGCTTCGTGCCATATGACGCACGTAAAGCCCGAAGTCGCTCCTTTGTAAAACTGCGTTACCAACGGCACGTGGTACCTACCACCGACAAATGTACATGTACAAGATACAATTATCGGCAAAAATGAAGGCACAAGACTTTACAACATATCACAGCTATGCAAGTAATTGCCCATGAAGACCTAAGGCACAGCAAGGAACACATTTCAACGCCTAAACAATTGACCATACATCACTGATGAGCCTTCCCACAGCCAAGGGCAAAATCACTCGCAACATATCACTCATATCATACACATGAATGTAGACATGGCACATACGCATACTTCTAAAGCTCGTATTACATACAAAACTGATGGCACATAAAATTATCACATACAACTGTAGGGGCCTGAGAAACAGGATGATCACGTTACATCTGCAATCACCAATTGCCTATCTACCGCCGATAAATGTAGATAAACAGGACACAATTATCGGCGTTAGTGAAGGCACAAAACTTGAAAACATATCACAGGTATGTAAGCAATAGCCCATGATAACCTAGCAATGAACACATTCCAATGCCTGAGCATAGATATGAACAAAGCAATGGACACATTTCAATGCCTTAACAATTGACGAAATATCACTGATGAGCTTTCGCACAGCCACCACTGCATGCCAGGTACGAAATCACTCGTCACATATCACTCTTGATACAAACAAATGTACAGGTGGCACATGCACATATTTCTCAAGCCGGCATGACATAAACAACCGATGGCACAGAAAACTATCACATACAAATGAAGGCACCTGAGAAACAGCATCATGACGTTATGTCTGCAAGCACCGACTGCCTGGGATAAAAGGCGTCAATACAGCGTGACAAATCACAGAAAAATGCCATGGGTTACAAGCAAACAAAACACCTGCACACAAATATGCATATATGTACAGCCATGCAGAGTAACTGAGGCAGCTAAGGTATTCAGAAAACCCCTGTGATTTTCCGCACAATTCAACGCACCCATCAGTGGTCCACCGGGCCACCGTCACCGGCCACGGCAACATCATCAGTGTCCTCCTCATCATCTGAGTCCTCGGGAAGGATCTCTGGCCAAACGCCCATCCACACTGCAGGACGTGCCCGTCTCCATTCTTCCTCTTCATCCTCGACGTCGTCTTCCCAGTCGCTGTCGCTGCCATCTATCAGAGACTCCACGAAGCTCGTTTTGGACTCATGCTCACGCCGCGGCTCGGGGAAGAGAATGGCCAGCGGAGCGATCGGCTCGTACCGCTCCCCGTCAAACCGGGTGAAGAAGCGTCCCACTTCCTGATGATCGATAGGCTGGGGATCTGGGGCCAGTTGCAGCTCCTCTGCAATGATACATCCACTTCTGTTAGTGGCAGACAGAAGGGGCGCTCTACACAAGAATGGGTGCAAGATATATTGCAAGTTGCTGTGATTTGTAGACAGCCTAACAATATTTTTTCAACAGCAGCTAGGGGCGTGAGCTGCACCACGTAGTGCAACGTCCAGTTTGGCTGTGTAATGTAGAAATATTGGAACTCATGAAATAGCAATGAATACGAATCAGAGCAGATATTCCGAAAGCTGCCATGCAGACATCATCAATGGTCAACTCAACATAGCACCTTCGTGGTGTACATAAAGCTGGTCCAATGCACCCAACCAAAATATGCCAGCGCTCTGCTCGTAACTGACATACTGGTGGGATGTCAGTGTAATGTACTCCAAATCGGTGCACAACATTTACTCGGGGAGCCTGCTCACCTTCAGCCATGTATCCGAAACGGTCACCCTCCATCAGCAAGTTGTAGACAGGTTGCTTTTCTCCCCGCTGAAGTCCGGAGCAGACGCGACTATGTGCTATCCAGTCCTGCAAACACCACCAACCCCGAGTCAACACAATAACTCACACCACGTGGCCGTCGTAGGAGATGAGAGCGAGGGGAAACTGTGAGGCTCCGTGGAAATGCTGGTAAGGAACTTTCACGTGTCAAGTGACATACGTAGCAAAATGGTACGCTTACATGCCCATCACTAATGCACCGATTTCTACTACCAATCAAGAAGGGGAAAAACCCAGAATGAAAGAATGACACAAATGCAACATGCCTGTATGAAACAGAAAGACATATTTGTGATACGGCGATGGCATGCATTGAAAACAAATTATGTGAATGGCGGACAGGACATTGTAAAACCATAATTGACCATATTAGATACTTTAAACCCCAACATGCTGAAGACATTCTATATCCCCTCTTTCAAAAAAGATCACTGTTGGCAAAATAAGGATAGCACTTGTCACACAAATAAATATTTACCAGGCCTTCAGCGACTGCCTTTCTGTGGAAGAAGTGACAAACAACAAAAAAGTCGAGTTGACTTCTCAGGCTTTGCCACGTAACTAGATCAATTCCTTAAAAAAACAGTACAAATGGGGTCAGACATGGACTGGCCTGATCCTGTCACTCCATTTAAACCGCTCGTACCTGTGAGGCCTCGTAGTATGATGAGCACCCGTACACCACTGCCAGGCGCTCGTCGCCGTACGTGACGACGTCACCGACGCCGAACTGCCTCGGATAGTCGCCCGCTGCTCGGTCCGCCGCGCGGAGGCTCACCTGCAACACCGATGAAAATACTGACGGCGTTGCACACAACCGCGGGAGATGATTGAGCGGCATGGTATAACATGAGTAGCGCGACACAAAACATAATTGAAAAGAAATGAGCTGCGATGGCAGTACCGAGCATCAGCCAAACCAGGAACAACAAGAAGGGAAAATAGGGCATCCACAAATCCTTGAAGCAAAAAGCTCACACGCACAAAACGACGTAACATTAGCACATCTGCATCACACTTTTATGCCGATGATGCCTAGACATGGGATTAAACATGCTCGACAACGGAATTTAGCCAGCGGCAATTAGCATTCAGCATTTTAACGTGCGTTTGCAAAAACACGTACACGTAACTGACCACCATGCATGCATAACATAACATGACACACAACAGCACCACGGAATCCAACTGCACCTCTCACACGCGTACGCACAGGCACGCTTCCGCATTACGTTGGTGAAAAGCTACAAAAAGCTACAGGAGTAACTTCACGCATTGGCAATTTCATCAAATCCAGTTTATTATTATTACCAGTTCCTGGACTATGGCCTCTTGTTCATCCAGGGAGCGCGTCAGCCGGTTATACATCCTCTTGAAGTGCTTCATGAGTACTTCCAAGCCACGCCTCTCGTTCTCCGCCAGTAACACGCCGTTAGCCTCGACGAATTGCTGCGGACGGAAGGCAGTGAAAATAAGGTCGCATCAGATTCCATCATTGTATCGCCACGTATTTTTTTTCTGACACAATTTCGGACGCAACGAACAGCCCTTGACTGCGAGCCATGTACGAATTCGATACTCCCGTGACCCAAAGATGAGGCCAGAACGTCACCTTGCAGACGTCCGATCACATCTACATCTAAAACAATTATTAGGCATATAAAAGAGAACCAGACGTGTACTTCCGACAACGGTTGAAAACAACTGCCAAATGCCACGAAAATGCGACACCGCTGTGCCATCGCTGCCCACCTCAGCACCGCCTGATGAATGAAATCGACGAAGACGATTGGTCGAAGCCGAGGCTTTCTAGACGACTACACATCGCACACATGCTGCGTTAAGCGATTCATGTATGCTTCTTAGATTGTACGTGCTGAATTTTAAGGTCCAGCGTCATTAAACACCACTGACCTGCAGCAGGCGGCGTGCGTACATCGGTCTGGAGCGAGCAACAGCGGACATCAGGTCGTCGAGCGCAGCCATGTCCAGGCGGCAGTCGCTGCGAGCCCAGCAGGCCAGTGTCTCAAACGAGACCAGGTCGAAGCCAGTCCCTGGCCGGCGGGCTTCCGGATGGGTGGCGCCATTGATCAGGCGGCCCAGCAGCTGCCGAAAACAATGCATCACGTGAGACAAAGAGGGACATCGTATTGGCACTACAGCACACTGAAGAGTGTACACACAGCAGGACTTATCACTAGCTTGTAGCGGGCCTGCTGGTACTCACAGATTCATATAAGAACAAAACACCCTGAACCTTAGACTCTGGTGCTTTCTTTGCAAAGTTCCTTTGCCAAAGGCAGCCATATAACTACTCGTCAAACAAAACGGCAGATTTTTCAACAAAAAATCCACGTACTCTATATAACAGGGCCTGTGCTCCCAGAATTTGCAACATCAGATGCATCACGTACCCCTGCTCTGGGAAAGGGTTCCAGCATCTGAAGGTCCATGTCCGGATGTACAGCATTCAACTCCTCCAACACCTGCTCTCTGGATAGCTGCATGCCGCGACGGACAACGTCGATGAACAGGTACTCTTCACTGTCCCTGCGTGAGGAGCAGCACGTCAAGACATCGTGCACAATGAACTGCATGCATTTATGCACGCATTACGTCAATTGCAATACATCAATGCGCAACAGACAACTTCAGTCACAAAGAAACAGGCACAAAAGCACATTAATAAAAAGGTAAACAAGACAAGACCAAACAAGACAAACACAGTCGGTGCGAAATTGTTGCATTTGCACAAGATGACAACACATCATGCATCAATACGATTGGCTTGATACAACATGGATGCTATATTTAGGAAATGAATATCTATTTTTAAGGAAATAATGAATGTCATTACCCACAAATCATACGTAACACCACGTCACTATTTTGGTCTCCTTCCTCCGTACCGTAGTTACCAATTGCTCTAAAGAAAATGTTATAGGACCAAATATAACGGGGAATTTGAAACTTTTAACGAACAGAGAAGTGATGCACTTACCAGAGCTGATTTCAAGAATAAATGGCTTTGTTGAAAGAAACAAACACATCAAAAGGCAGGCCTGATCATGAAAAATGCATCAAAGTCTTTGGCATCAAGTAATTACAAAAACTGGTGAATAGATGCACGCCGTGAAAGCAGGAACACCCAAAAAGACGTGACTTGAGCAGCCAGTCTGTCTATTTAGCGTCAATGGTGCCAGAGGACCCATTCCCCATGACCCTTACCACAATGCTTACGTTCGGTGCCAGCAGATCATCGAGCTATGCGGGAACTGCACATTGTGGAGGTTGACACCCAGCATGCCAGCTACCGAGGAGTAGACCGTCCCCATTACAGTCGGCGTCCCGGAGCCGGCACAGTGGAGGTGGCGACGAAGGTTGAGCACCTGAAAAAGGAAACAGCAAGCCATTTAATGCATTGTTCTGGAGGCAACAGTAGTAACCTGCACACAAGAGCAAACGGCCCATCACACCATTCAGTCATAGAGCGAGTAATATACTACAAAACGGAGATCACACTTGCTGAAATCAAACATCGCCTATTAGTAACGACCTCATTGACGAGCATTTTATCATGACTACCATGGTCAGTCGTCAAAGTCAGCAATTTTCACGGAGACTCTGGATTCTAGACTGTGCAGACATCGCAACAGGGTGTTCGGTGTTAAGCCATCTGACAGGAGGCGCATAATGAACCTTACGACGAACGGGCGAAAACGCATGATCCACAGTATGCTTCGCAGTTCACAGCCCCGCACGGAAAACACCATCAGGCAAAACAGGTCAGAAAGAGAAGTCTGCGCTTGTCCTGTGTGTGATTTCACCTACTCCAACGTCCAGGAAACATTGATGAATATTTAATGCAGTACACTCACCAGTGTGTTCAGCTCGGCAGCCGGTGCGTACGCCGGCTCTTCATCCTTCATCAGGGCAAGCTGGTCATACAGTACAATGTTCAGCACGTCCAGGAGCATCAGTGTCTGGTCGTCCGTCCACAGCGAAGGTCCGAACGGGTTCTTTTTGCACGTATCCCAGGCGGCGGCCGGGTGCTCCGGGAGCTTCCGACGAAGCTCGTCCAAAACCAGGCCGGCGACCTTCATGTAGCAGCTGTAAAAACCACGCCATGTCAACGCTCGCATGTACGCATGAAAGGTCGTCTTTGTTCACGGGGGAAGGGGAGGATGGAGACGAATGTTGCAAAGCTAAGACTGTATCCAGATTTGAGATTAGTGCCTTGTATCCCGTTCCTCTGGCGAAAACCACGATCACACTGGCATACTAAGTTTGACCTAGCTATTTGCTACACCATGCGTCAAGTCCTGTTGATGCTCCTGTAGTAAAAACACAGCGCAGAGTGGCATTTGACTAGAGGGCGACAACATTGAAAATGCCATAACCACAGGTAACAGACGCCTGCAGTCAGCTATCATCGGCACAGATAAACACAGAAAAGGGCTGTGAGATTAGTTGTGTACTTGTGCCAATCAGGAAGAGCTACATACACATTAGAAACACAGTCGAGCTGGCAAAACACTGTTCGTGCCAAACTTTCAATTTCCGCATGGAGATCGAGCATCTGGTAAGGAGATGAAAGACTCACGCCTTAAGACTGGACTCTCGGTTGTTGGTTTGCTCCGGAACCATCCAGAGGCTCATCAGATAAAACGCTTCGGGCACGTTCACATGCTGCGCTGGGCGCTGCATGTACTCCCGGAACATGGGCAGCAGCACGACGTCTCGCTGGATCTCGCGGAACAGCATCCGCGCATAGTAGCGCAGAGACAGGTCATCATCCCTGCCAAAAAAAGCTCGAATTACACATATGCCTAACACAGCATCTGTCCACTCCGGAGACCAGTTGTGATGTCGGAGGCTTATATATAAGTCAATGAGTAAAACTTTTTGAGCGAATAGTTTGGTTTGGTGTTCAGATTACTTAGGCGATACCAAAGCATATGAAAAGTGCATGCAGGTAGTGCTGGAGAATAAACCAAGGTACTGGACAGAACAGCCTGGTACGTACGATACTGGCAAGCTGCTGAGATACGATAACAGAAGGCAACCCTAGAGGAAGACGGGGTAATGACACTGGAGTGAAAAATTGATCCAGTCTTGGTTCTGTCCCACAAAATGTCAGGGATAAGATTGCCATTCCAAACTAAGAGGAAAGCGGGACAGAGCGACAAGAGACACTGGCACGCTCCTTGAGAAATGGCCACCGTTTCTCAATATGGCCCAACTGTCAGAAGTATGAGAAGCTACGTAGTTCAAGACAAAAAATTTAGAGAAATGAATACTTCAGACTGTGGGTGATCTACACCATCAGCGTTCAGACGGCAAAGGGCACGTGAAGGATGATACGAAGGACATAACACGTGCAGTACCTATGTGACTAAGAATTCATGGTTAAAAAATTGCATTCAGCTGAGCAAACTGCATGCCACCAGACCACCCGAAAAATGTGATCCAACTTACGGACAGTGTTGGCGGGGATAGATGACCTCCAGGAGGGCATCCCGATTAAACAGGGTACCATGGACGGGCACCAGCTTGCGGAACTCTTCCATGGCGGGGTCCGGCAGGCAGTGGACTGAGTAGCATCTGTCGGCCATCTTGGCTAGGGCCATGCGCAGGTGGTGGCCAGCCGAGGCGCGGAACCTCGCAGTACGCCGCCAGCTGCGGCCGCACCGCTCAAACACGCGCAGCAGGGCAGGCCGGCACGAGGGCTGCAACAAGCGCGGGTACCTGCGAAACAAGAAACAAGGTCACGACTGAGGCAAATCGGCACGATGGGAGGTCTCTTGGGTGGAAGACGTGCCTAAATATCACGCCTAGCTCAATAATCTTGGTCAAAACATTGGGCACAGCGAGCGTGATTGAATCAATGACATCTTCAGTCAGCATATGCAATGAAACGTGACGCACACCACCACCCACACCGCATTTTCCTCACCATAACCATCACTGCAGCTGGTTATTAGCAAGATGATCAGCATCTTTATATTTCTCGAGACATTTGTTTCTACTTGGATAGGGCTGAATAAAGTAGATGCCCATAAATCAACAGTTGTTTGAAGCAAAGAAATTCCAATTTTTGGTTGTGATGTGAAAAAAGATGGGTTGCTTTTGACCACTTTTGATTATCATATCAAATATAGCTGAGTTTCTTTTAGTAGTGCAGCTGTCCACTACTGGTGTCATGCATCAGTTCTTTTGTGGTGTGCTATTGTTACAAGACCAATGTGAAGTTCGTTTAATATGCTCATCACCATTTGAGAGATGGAAATCAAGGATTGGTGGAAAATTATGTGGATCAACAGAATGAAGATCCAATAACAACTGTTGGTTGTCCATGAACCATTGACCTAGACAACCTCAGTTATTTGCATTTATCACTATAAAGTATATCACTGTATGGTTTACAAGATGTTATAATACCATCATTGAATTAGCCAACAGCTGCCTATTTTCTAGCACTAGGCTCCATCCCCTGCAGCACTGGTTTGTGAACCTGTCAAAACTAGCTTGCATAAAATGTCACAGGGTATAGTTTAGCACTACAATAAATTAGAAGAACACTTGATATCCTACAGTCAAAATTTCAGACATTTATCAATACATGACATTTGCATGCAATATACGTTTACATGCATAATTCAAGCAACAAATGACATTTATCAATACCTTCCACTATTTGTGTATGGTTGAATGGAAAAGACAGCATAAGAGCCTTTTAAAAGACAGTAGCAGCAACAAGACACTAATAAATTTTTTAGGTGGAGCATCTTTTACTGAAGCCATCACCAACACTCTTCATCCTTTGTTCAAAATGCCATCCCTGTTACTGGCATTGGTTGCATAAAGGAAAGGTTTTGCTTATTGAGATAATTTAGCATATGAATGAAATTTGGAATGCATGCATGCATTTGGAATGAAACATCATCATGAAACCCTTCCCATCTAAGCAGAATAGGATTGCAATGCCAGGTAAAATTCAACAAAAGATGTTCCAAATGAGGGTTCATGAGGATGATTTGCAATGAAAGCTTTGATCAGCTGTCTGCCCTCCTTTGTCATTTGACAAATGGACTTTACCACACACTTATCAGCTGCACTGCATTTCCAGAACCCAAATCAAGGTCTGCACAGTGCTCTAACAAACAATATGTGCTACACCCAAATTCCATGTTGCATGTGAGCTTTACAGGTAGTAAGTGCAAAACATACTTCTCCCTGATATTATAATTTTGCCTTCAGAAATCATCATCCCAATCAAAACACTATAGGCATTGATCAGGCCACGTGCAAAAAAAAAACATTATGGATTGACACTTTAGGTCAGTTTGACTTGTGTATAGCCTAGCATTCAATTCCTTCTAAAATGGCCAACACATCTCTTCAGAAACAACTTAGCCATTACTGCACAGCAGAAGCCAAAAAAAGTATGGAAGTTGACATACATTTGTCAGTAATTGCATCACAGAACCAGTCAGCTGAGCGTAATGAGGGTACACTCTTCGCAACTGCTGGGTGAATCACTGCAGTAGTTGGCACTGTCTTAAGTCAAAAATATGCATCCATGGGTACATACAGACATCTAAGGTGTACATTTACCAAATTTGTCTGATTGCATTCCATCTTGCAATAATTTTTAGATGTCAGCTGTAGCAAAAGACTGAAAGATCACAGCCAGTGGCAAAATTCATCTTTCCAGCAATCTGACATCCTAAGAGCAGGAACTCACCTGGACTCAAATCCAAACTTCCATACTTTCTCTGAAGTATGGACATCAAAGCCTCTTGCACACTTGTGACACAGAAGCAAGATCTTCTACGTGCAGGAAACACAAGATGTGTTCCAAAATTTCCGTTGGCAGGGAAAGCAGGGATGTGTCTGCATTCTGCTCCATTGAGCCAACGCAGTTCTTCTCGTTCGAAAACTCGTAGCATCCATCAGCAGCATTCAACAATCGCGTGCGTGTTTCAAATATCAATAGTAGATTCCAAGCTCAGCAGATTCAGCGCCTTGCACGGATAAAAACATACACGATCGGAGCGCGGAATAGAAACGGAAGTCAAATGCGGCGGGTTAACGGTTCGAGAACTGCGGCACGTTACGGTCGGGCCGTTCAAACTTCCAATGAGAAGCGGGGATTTGAAACCATGCCGTGTGG